AAGAAATTTCTCAAGTTAATTCTAATTTTTTTTAAAAATTATTATGTAAGGATAAATTTTCAAATTCAATTACAATTTTTTTTTTATAATAAGTAACTAGTTTTGCATTTCATACTTTTATTATAATTCATTCAATTATCAACATAATTAATTAGTTATTTTATGCTTTTGATATATTTTAATGTTTAACTCGTTACTAATTAATACAACGAATATTGTTATACTAGTGATCCATAGATTAAAATGTTTGATCATCGAATTATCCATGTTAAAGTGAATAACTTGATTTGATGATAACTATTTTAATATATTAATATTAAATATTTATAATAAAATATTTAAAAAAATAGAAAATATTTCAAATAATTGATGATAAATAATTTGTCATTTATAATTAAACATAAAGGATAATTTTTGTAACGGACAATCATATAAATATAATATTTGTGATAAATAAAACTTTTCTCCTCATAAATATTTTTTTAATGTTAAATAAAATATATATTAGTGACAAATTTAAAATGAGAAAATAAACCTTATAAATATTAGTGACAATCTTTTTGTGGTAAACAAATTTTGGTCACTACTAATAAAAATTATAGTGACAATTTATCATTTTGACACTAATATAAATCATATTAGTGATAAAATTTAATTTTGTCACAAATAATATATTATTAGTGACAAATTTTACTTTCATCACTATTTTCTAGTCACTAAAATTCATAATTCTTGTAGTGATGCAAGGTGGTTGACATGAAAAGGGATAAAAGAAGCAATCACTCTGAACTCATAGTTGAGAGGGGTCCAAAAATAATTTAAATAAATTTATTATAAAAATTTTTTAATTTTTTTACGATGACACTTCAATTTTAACTTATCAAAGTAAAGTTAATGAATTTTCAATTTATACCAAAAAAAACAACTATTCACATGGAATATTTTTTATTTTTAATTATTTAATTAATTATGGGAGAAGGAAATATGAATTAAATATGTTTGTAATTTCTATAAAATACTCGTTTTATGTTTTTATTTTCTCTAATTGTTTTGAGTCTATTTTGCTCTTTTATGAAATATTATTTTCAATTTTAGTCTTTGTTGTTATTTTTTAAATCCTTTAAAAATGTAAAATTTTGAAAAGATTCTTATAATATCTTATTTTATAATTTTAGTCATTAATTTTTCAATAAATATTTATCACATCATCAATAAATAGTATTAAAAACTAAAACTATAAAATAAAATTGTGTAGAAATCAAATCAACAATTTTTTAACAAAATTAAAATCATAAAATGTCTATACTATTATGACTAAAAATATATTCAAATAAAAAAATTGTATGCAACAAAATGTATACTTTTAATAAAAATAAGTATTTAATTTTTTATTAAATATATGTATAAAAAATATTTAAAAAAAAAACCTTCATCTGTTTGTTTTTCCTAGGCCCCTAAATTCTCAAGGTCGGGTCTAGATTTATTCATTTGAAAAATAATTAGGTACGATACTCACGTTATCTTGACTAGTAAACTACACGTTTTCCATGATCACGTTATCCGTAGCCAATTGTTAATTGTGTTGTCCATGTTATTAATCAGCCAGCGTCACGTTATAGTCATTGTTATAATCTTATTTGTCAATTATAATTTATAGTACAAATAAAATAATAACAATATTACCTCTACTTAGTTTAGGGTCCAAGCAAAAGCATTATTAGTATTTTACTCATTATTTTACTTGATTACTTGATACATGTCACGACTCATGTCCCATGGGCTCGATATTGGTAAGGACTTCAGAAGAGAGAGGTTGGACTAATGCGGGCACATCTCTAGGATTAAATAAGCCCAATATTGGACAAAATCCAGTTACACCAACTCATGTTTTCATAAGAGCCGAATGTTATGTACGCTTCTCCTTTCTCATAAATATCACTCTTTTAAATTTTTTTCTTAAATATATTTTATTCCTCAAATCTAAGAGTATATTTGTTTTGTCATTTAAATTTAAAATTATTATTTTATCTTTATAATTTTTAAAAAATTTATTTTAATTTCTCAAGTCATTAATAATATATCTAAAAGTGGCAGATTGAAATAATTATATAGTATCAATTGTATTTAATATGATATTTATACTAATAGACACACCAATAGATATAATTTATGTGATAGTATTTAATCCTAACAAAATTTGAGTATAAGTATAAGAACTAAAGTAAATTTTTTTTGAAACTATAAAGACTAAAAAGACCAATTTTAAATTTGAGAGATTAAAAACAAATTTACTTTAAATATGAGAAACCAAAAACATATTTAAGCCATATTATTTTAATGATTTTATAATTTATTTTTTAAATAAATTTTATTTAAAAAATTTATCTTATTCACTCTTCATACGTCTCCTTTTATTATTATTATTATTATTATTATTATTATTATTATTATTTATTTCTTGATTTTTAATCTCCAGCAATCTTTATTATTTAATTTTTTTAATTTTAACTTTTTTTAAACTCTAATTTTTTCTTTATCTTTAATATTGGATATAAGGTTATGAATTTTAGGAAAATGTCATTTATAAAGATATGACTTATTGATTTTATGATGAATTATTGATTAAAAATAATATATTTTCTTTTATTATTATTGTTCTAAAATTATACTTTCTAATTGTTAAAATATAGTTTTGAAATGTACGTTTTGGAAGAGTAAAAATATTTTTTCAAAAAAATACTTTTCAAAAGCATATTTTTGTTTCCTGAAAAATATTTTTTGTAAGCATATTTTTTCTTTAAATTTTGGAGTGCTAAAACATACTCTAGAATCCAAAAGAATATATATATATATACTTCCGAAAAAAAATTTAAAACAGAAAAAATATACTTTTAAAAAATAATTTTTAGAGGAGTAAATTTATTTATTTTTTAAAAAGTTTTAAAACATTTTTATCTAAAAAAAATACTTTCAAAAAAGTACTATAAAAGATATTTAAAAAATAATAAATAAATAAATATAAAACATATATTATTAATTAAAAAAAATAAAACAATTAAAGAGTATATAAGTCACATCACTCTAAAAATATCCTCGAGATTAACAAAAATTCTCCTATACTATTTTTAAGCCTTTCCCACCATATCATTCCCTACGTGTACATCACTAAAGTCTAGTGAGTCTCAAATTTCAATTTTTCTTATAAATAAAATGATAAAAAGACACCCAAAAATTATTGAACAGGAAACTAATAGTATGACATAAATTATGAGACTAAACATCATTGTCCACTTTCTATTAGTTGAGGCCTAGTTGTATTTAATTTAACTTAGGATTTTACTTATCAAATTGAGAACTAACAAAAAAAATTACACTTCTGACGTTAAAGAAGTTCCTTAAGAGCACCTTCAATATGGAGGTGCTTGTTGTGTATCTTAAAAATAAGTAACAGTACTTATAAGAAATTTTCATTAGAGTCATCTTACGTGGCAAGCCAAGTTCTAAATTTTTTAGCTCCGTTGCTTCTCCAAGCAACAGTGCTTAGCAATCTGAAAATTGAAATGGAGAGGTGCGATTGGTTGAGTTGTCATAAAGTGTAGTGTGAGTTGTCAAAAAGTATAGTATGAGTTGTAAAAAAGTAGAGGTGCTTATAAACAATTTTTATTAGAGCAAAAATTGTAAAAATATAGTATGAATTGCTTATAAATGACATGGTACGGTGATACACATTTAAAGCGGTTGGGTGTTGCTTATAAGCAACTCCCATTGTAGATGCTCTAAGTAGGTATGTCCATAAATGCCATAGGATGAAGCGGATATGGATAGTAACTTCTCGCTACCCACATGTTAGATAAATATCCGCTCCGCACATGTTCTTGTATTCGTGCGGGAATATGTTTAGTGGATATTCTCATAATTTTTCAATATTTGTGGGTATCCATGAATATGTATTTGGTAAAATTACCCTTATATCTCCTAAAATCTGTTTAAATGACACATACTTCCCCTCTAGTTTTGAAAATCACCTAATTCTCATAGAATAACGTTATTAGTTAAAGTGAGAAAAGAGAAAAAATAAGTTAATTTATATTTTGTCAATTATATACAATACTCTATTTTCTTTATGAAAATTTTTATTATTCTTCAATTTTAAAAATAAAAATTTCTCAATCCATTCTTTAAAATTATTCTTTGAAATTAGTATATTTTTTAAATCACAACAAACATGATATTTAAGATATAATTTACAAGTTAAAATTGAGTAAGTGATCAAATCTCATATAATTATTATAACTTGTATTAATAATTTGTTCTTTGCATGTGTTACCTAATATAAGGGTCTGTATATGTCACTTATATAGATAAATAAGAGAGGTTAGACTTCAGTTAAAAATTAAAGGGAGTGTATGTGTCATTTAAAAAAAACCTTGGGGAGTCAGTGCAATCTTTCTTATTTATTAAAAAAATCTTATAAATAACTTTTAAAATATTTTAAAAATAATTTCTATTTATTTTAATTATTTTTTAAAAATAATAATTTTTAAAAAAATTTAAATTATTCAAATATTATACCCAATATATTATTCAATATTTTTTTATTTAAAAACTAAATTTAATTATTAAAATACTTCATTCTCATAAATTTAAATAAATTTAATAAACTAAAATAATTCAATTTTACAAGTCCAAAAAAATTAAAAACAAATATAATATTTCAATCTCATAGATCTAAATAAAAGAAATTTAAGTAATATCATATTTTCACATAATACTGTTATATATTTTAATAAATAAATTTAGATAATTTTATTATAACTATCGATGGGACAAGTACTCATTGTAGATTTTAATCATGGATATTCATTAGTATGAATTTTTTATCATTAAAGCAAGATTTTAATGTTCGTAGAGAATATCAACCACACATAATAAGAAATACAAGTTCAAACTATATCTTAGATGTAGAGAGTATCAACCCCACATCATAAGAAATACAAATTCAAACCAAATCTTAAATCAATTGTGCCAACCCTGGATGACACAAATGCATTACTTCAACATTTAAAGACATTACTTTTAATTAAATTAACAAATGTTTTCTAGCGCTCTGTATACATAAAATTCGGGGGAAAAATGATATTATGTAAATAAAAGTAATGAATCAATGACGAATGTTGTTGAATTCTACAATAAACAATGAATCATCCGATCTAAATGGTATAAAACTAATGAATGTATTTAATCTCTCACAAAACATGGTTGTCTTCCTCAATTTGCTGGCACAAATCTTCATATACACAAGCGATGGTAGCAATGAACCTCTCCATGGTAGCAAAGACATGTTTTAGACCAGATTGCAAACTCATTATATCAACAAGATCACCATGATGCACTGCATTATTATTTTCTCTACCAATTGGAGTCATTCTTTCTCTAGCCTGAACCACTTTGTGCATCTTTTGCTCCTCCCTCTCCAACATTTTCACTTTCCTCTCCAATTCCTTGTCCAATGTTAAGTTTTGCTGAAGGTCTGAAATATGCTTTTCCAAGAGCTCATTCACTTTGAGCATAAATCCATTAATAGCTTCAATGACATCCTTCTCTGAGAGAATATCCATGGCTCGTGACCATTTGTTACAGATCACAAACACAGGAGGTGCACCAATCCTTGCAGGAGAGAAGGGAGGTGTACCATCAAGTAATTCTTCAGGCTCATATGGTAGACATCTTACTAGCCAGCCATTCAAGGCTTTCACATGGGCCTTTTGGGTGTAAATCCAATCTGAGAAGCTTAAGTTCCAGTTCTGTACCTCAGATTTGAGTTTAATTAATTCATCAAGATGAGAATTACTAGGCTTCCTGCTAAATGAAGAGGCATCTACACTTTTGGCTTCAGCAATTTCCTTATATTGGCTTCTGTAACATTCTAGCATTTCTTTCCACATTTCAAGAAACCTTTTCCACAAATGGATAACAATTAGCAAGTACAAGGGAAATTCCAAAGAAACAAAATACCATTCTGTGTGATTCATTCAAGGAAAAAAATGAAATTATACAAAAATTACTTAGTACTACTAACAAGAAGTATTTAGGACATGTTTGGTAACATGTCAACTACACTCGGACGTGGATCAACGGGAAGCAGCTAAGGTTTGCTTCTGAGGTGATTTTAAGGGATAACGTGGATGTCCAATTTAAAATCAAACATGCACAGATGCAGTTAATCATAGCAACACAATTACGATACAAGACACAAGTTAGAGGACTGTACCTACCCAACTACAAAGGTTTCAAATTAATGATAAGAAACATGAGCTGAGACAAACCTGAAAATGAACTTGTTGATCTGAGGCCATAACTCCTCTTCCATCAACTTACATATAGTGCTGGATATCTTGTCAACCACCTGGAAAGAAATTTTGATTTTGGTAGCTAGAATCTCAATCAAAGCTTCAACAGAATCAATTTTGTGTGCATCGGCACCCTTTTTATTCATCCGTCTCAATTGTCTGCACTTCTTCTCGTGAAGTACGCGCAATTTCTCCCCATCCTTCATAAAAAAAAAACAAAAAAACACCATGCTCAATTGCAAAACCATTTTGTTTTGCATAAATTGCAACTGATTAATGAACAACTTGTAAAACACCATACCTTGACTTCAACATAAAGCTTCTTCTCCCACATACAAAGCTTGTTAAGAGTAGAGCAAAGATTCCCATCATAACTGAGGCCCTTGTCTATGTCAACTCCTTGATACTTTCTCGAGGAATCCATGCAGTTAAGGTGCTTCGAGGGAGTGAAGGCGTGCATCATCTTACAAGAAACTGAACAAAAATCTCTTTTTTATTTTTTATTTTTTTTCAAAAAGAAAACAAAAACATGGACATCGAAATAGGTACCTACCTGGATTAACGGCTATATTAGGATGGTAACGGAGTTTGCCAACGCGGAGCATTTCCAAAATGGGGTTACCCGACTTAGATGCTCTCTCAAACATTTTCTGAATCTCTTCCATTGCATCTGATAAATCTCTGGACGAGGCCGAGTTGGTGCAACGTTCCTTTGCTTCTTCCTGGTTAATATTATTTTTCTTCTCGTTTTCATGCTCATCATGTCTGGGACTACAAGGAACGTGGTACTTGTCGAAGTTTTCAAAGACGTTCAAGAAATCCCATGTTGAGGTTGCAGGAGGCGGTGGTGAGGGCGCATAACTCCCAAACTCGTAACGAAAACGCGGAGGCGAAGGCGAGGAGTCGTAACGAGTGGGGTTGAGAAAGTGGGATTGATTTTCTTCATCGTGTTGGGATTGAAAGTGATGGAAGAAGCGAGAGAGGGTGAGGCCGAGAGTGTTGAGGGAATGCATGTGTGCCACGTGTGCATCTGCGAGGGCGTAGCTATGGCGGAGAGCTTGGTCCACGAAGCTGCAACGGTCGCGGCACAGAGCCACCGCTGGAAGCCGATCCAGTGTTGAGTTGTTGCAACCCATTGTTATTAGTGTTACTATATTCCACTTTGGTTACTTCAAATAGTATGCACAATTGGATTCTAATTATTACCCACCCTTAATGCTATTTATGGATACTTAATTACCATTAACCTTTCTATTATCAAAAGTGGCAACGTCTCTTTCTTACTTTTATTTATCACTAGTCTTTTCAGTTTCAAAACAACAACACATGACCTGTATAAAAAAAACTTTAAATAAAGAGAGACAAGGTGAAAAAAATATAAATAATTTTAAAATATTTTAAGTGTGAATATATATATATATATTATTAATAATATAAAAAAAAAGGTTTTATAACAACTCTCCTCTTTCTAGAACTCCCTCCAAAACTGCTCTTATGTTTTTTTATATATATATATAAATGTTATTATGAAATAAATTGATATATATTAAAAATAATTAAAATTAAAAAAATGCATTAAATAATTAATAAAAATGTTTTAGGTTTCACTTTAATTATTAATAAAGATTTTATAATTTTAATGAGTACAAATAATTATTGGATGTGCATTTGAAAATTAATATTTAATAAATGACCTTTTTTAAAAATCCAAAAAATGATTTTTTTACAACAAAAAATGAAATTTTTATTTTTAATATTTAAAAAAAGATAAATATTAAATAAAATATTTATATTGGTTATTAAAATTTGATGGAAAAAATTACTTTTTATTTTTTAATATTTAGACAGAAAAATAAATATTAAATAAAATATTTATATTGATTATTAAATTTTGACTAAAAATAATTTTATTGACAATTCTAAAATACAATTAATTTAAAATATTTTACAATATTAATTATTATTAGATTTATTTTAAATTGTTAAAATTAATTGGACAAAATAAATAAATATAAATTGAATAAAATTAAATATAACTTTAATGTCAATACATAAAATAATTAACTATTTTTTTAAAAATATTTCAACGGAAAAAACTAAATTACAACAATCAAAACTTATAATTTACTAAAAAAAGTAAAATAAAAATATTTTAATATATAGAACGAACCACTTCTACGATATTTTTTTCCTCTCAAATAAAAAAAAAATACTATTAGAAAAATGTCATTTTCCTGCGAATTTTCCTAAAGAAAATATTCGCAGAAATTTTTTAGGAATTTTCTTGCAATAATAATTTCACAAAAAAAATTTACAAATTTATTTGCGAAAAATAATTTACAGATATTTCTTACAAATATTTTATAAAAATTAATCTACAATTTTTTTTTTGTAAATTTTGGTACAATTTTAATGATCATAGAAATTTTTTTCCATGATAAAAATTTATAAAAAATATTGTAAGAATTTATTTTTGTTTCTTGCAGATTTTCTTGCAAAAATAAATTCACAAGTAATATTTACTAAATGGTAGAAAATTTTGCCAGTAACTTTTTCTGCAGATTTTCCTGCCAATTTTAATCTGCATGAAAAATTAAAAAAATATTTAAATTTATAAGTTTAATATTTTTAAAAAACTTCAAGTCCCACATCGATTGAAAATAAAACAATTAAAGAGTATATAAGTTGGGGCAACACTTACTTATAAGTTGATTTGTATGGTTGAGTGTTAGACTTATAATCTACAATCTTAGAGTTTAAAGAATTATTAATAGAATTTGTAGTAGTTTCTTTAATTTTTTCATAAAAAAAATTCGCAAGAAACTTTCTTGCAAAATTTTTTTTGCAGGAAACTTTCCTGCGAATTTTTTTCACAAGAAATTTAACAGAAAAATTTCTTGCGAATTTTAAAATTTGCAAAAACATATTATCCACGAAGGTATTACTTACAGAAAAAAAATTTTACAGATGAATTTGTAAGAACGACATGTCCTACAAGTTTTTATGAAAAATTCGCAGGAAAAATCACATGTAATAAGAAAAATTCTAGCAGTGAAACATTCAATATATTAAATAGAATTAAAATTAAAATTATTATTGTTATTATTATATAGCTATAATAACACATTAATATAGAAAGCTGTAACAATATTATAAAAAATTAATTTTATTAATTACTATAATTTTAAAATAATTATATTAATCATAGTCAGTTTTAAAATAAATGTAATTAAAAAAACGTTATATACTCGGTTCCATTTCTTCTGATTGATTGATATATATATATGAATGAATGAAAATTATTATTCTTATTCTTATTCTTATTCTTATATAATAGCACATTAATATAAAAATTGAAACAATGTTATAAAAGATTAACTTTTTTATTTATTGCAGTTTCATTAGCATAAACAATTCATTTTAAACCTTCATTCCTTTTGCCAAAAAAAAAAAACTTTCATTCCTTTTTTTCACCTCTATCATAAATAGAATTAAAATTAAAATTATTATTGTCATTATTATATAACTATAATACCACATTAATATAGAAAACTATAACATTATAAAAAATTAATTTCATTAATTATTACAATTTTAAAATAGTTATATTAACTATAGTCAATTTTAAAATAAATATAATTCAAAAAATAAAAAAAACTTTACATACTCAGTTTCATTTTATATATATATATAGAGGGATCCTTTTACTCTAGATCTAAGTCTACATAAACTTATCCTGTTTAATAACTCATGTTCTACATTACATTTTAACGATTCAATCAAATTTCAACGATCCAACCGTTGAAATTAAAGTTCTTAATGCATATATCAAATCTGCAAATTTTTAAAAAATTTGAAGATCATTTGATATTTTATTTCATTAAAGTTCTTAATACATAAATCAAATATACAAATTCATATCAAATAGTCTTCAAATTTTTTAAAAATTTGCAAATTTAATTTATGCATTAAGAACTTTAATTTCAACGGTTAGATTATTAAAATTTGATGTAAAACATGAGTTATTGAATGCATTAAGAACTTTAATTTTCAGTTAAAAAAAATGAAGAAAAACAGGCAGAGACAACCCTATCCCTAGGGTCGAGCACAGGACTTGGAAAGCCCTCAAAAAACCCCAGCTATTGGGGTGCAACTGGCAAGGAGCCGAGTTGACAAAATTCAAAAAATCGCTCAGTGAAGAATCCCGGATTCGTGAGGAGGCCTGCAAGCTTCGAGCCTCCAGAAGATACAACACGCGAGTCCGACCTCGATCTTTCCGGGTCGGAGACTTGGTGTGGTGACTACTAGGCGAAGCACGAAGAGACCCATCAAAGGGGAAACTTGCACCCAACTGGGATGGCCCATTTCGAGTTATAGAAGACTTAGAAAATGGGGCATACCGACTAGAAGAACTCAGCGGCAAAGCCATCCCGCGAACTTAGAATGCCACGCATCTCAAGTTCTATTACAGTTAAATTTGTACGAATGAGTTGTGCACTCTTTTCCCGAATCAGTCTTTTGTCCCAAAAAACAGAAAAATGGGTTTTGGCTGAGAGGGTTTTTAACGAGGCACACCCATAACATTAATAAAATGACTCATTCCATTCATGACTTCTTGATTTTACCCTGTTTTATTATAAAATGCATTATCTTAAGTCGAGGTCGAGTTCAAACCTTGACACAAATATTTTTATCTTAAGACGAGGTCGAGTCTGAACCTTGATACGAACTCTCAACCTGAGGTCGAATTCGAACCTTAAGAACAAAATCTTAACCCGAGGTCAAGTTCGAACCTCGGTACACATTATTTCACTTTACACTGAGGTTGAGTTCGAACCTTAGTATGAATTGTTCTATCTTCATTGAGGTTGAGTTCGAACCTTAGTATGAATTGTTCTATCTTCACTGAGGTCGAGTTCGAACCTTAGTATGAATTGTTCTATCTTACTCGAGGTCGAGTTTGAACCTTAGTATGAATCGTTTCATCTTACCCGAGGTCGAGTTCGAACCTTAGTATGAATCGTTTCATCTTACGCTGAGGTTGAGTTCGAACCTTAGTATGGATTGTTTCATCTTACGCCGAGGTCAAGTTCGAACCTTAGTGCGAATTATCCTGTCCTATACTGAGGTCGAATTCGAACGCTGGTGCAAATCACTTTAAACTAAAACGAAGTTTAAACGTGTTTTCAAAATGCAAAAAATGGGCAAAAACTAAGCCTAAAACATGAGCACAAAATAAAAGGTCACAATAGAATCATTGAAAGCGCAAAATGAAAACCACAAATGAACAAAGCAAATTATATACATAGGTTCGGCAAATACAAAATGTTCAAAAAACGAAATGAGCAAGATAAGCTAAGTTATTACAAAATCAGCCTAGGTGGAGGCATTGTCGCTCGAGCTGTCCGGGAGGTTGTCTTCCTTCACCAGCCTCCCGAAGCGCACCTCTCTCTCCACATGCATAGCAAAGAGGTCGACTCTAGGTGCAAGCAACCTCGCCTGACGAGCTGCCTTGACGAAGCATTTCTTATGCTCGAACACTACAGCTCGCTCGGTCTCGGCAAGCTTCCTCTCCAGCTCCGCCTTAGCATCAGCCATCTGATCACGGTCCACCTTTAGAGCCGCGACATCCTCTTCCTTGCCACTAAGAAGCACCTCATCACAGAGACGCTTCTCAGCAGCTTGTCCCAACTCGACCTTCAGCATCGAGACCTCATCCTCAAGGGAGCGCACTCTACCCCGAGAGAAGGTGGAAAGCTCCTGAAGCTCGCCAACCTGAGCAGCATAGACCTCGTTAGCCTTCAAGGTGATCTCCAATGACTTCTGGACCCTCGTGAGATCTCTCCTCGTGGCTTGAAGCTCGGCCTCGTTCTGCCTCTTAGCCTCGCCCAGGGCGGCCCCTAACGCTCGATTCTCCTCCTCCAGAGGTTGGACTCGGCCCTTCATCTTCTCAAGGTCCCCTTGCTGCTTGGACCACTTGTGCTTCTAGTGGTCCACAATAGCCATAGCCCTATGCATAAAGACCTCAGCAGAGTCAAGGCCCTCCACTGGCCTGACCTTCTCGATCATAGCCGAGCGCAGCGAACCCTTGGGGTAGAAGGTCTCAGCGGTCACCCTCGAACTCCACAATGAGTCTATATCTGACAATGCGCTCACATGATCCAACCATGTCAAAAGGTGA